AAGAAAGAAAGGTATATAACTCAATTTCCCTAACAGTTTCAGTATTTATTTGGTTATTTCCCCTTCCAAAATTTCACGATTATGATTTGTTGATATTTTCCCTGATATCGCATGAAATAAAAGTTAAATTAAGATATTAAAAGCATGTTAATCATAGAAAATGAGTTTAGTATAGAAAGAAAACCCATAACAATTTGTTGGCAATGATAAAAGACCATAATTGCTGAAAAATATAGTGGTTAAGAGTCAAATTAATAATGTTAGTTAAGGATAAACATAAAAATGAAGGTAAATAACTGCGTCCAACTTAAACGGCTTACAATAAACGTGATTGCTTCCCCTAGAGTAAGAGAAACGTATGTCACATGTGGGTTTCTAAATATCAGGGAGAGTGCAAAATGTATGTATAACAGAAGGTAAAGATATTGAGAGATAAACATGAAAATCCATAAAATAAAACAAACCATAAGCATATTTAATAGAAGGTTCTAGATGTTTCTCTCCCAGTCTCCCTGGCTCAAAACCTAACCACTAAAGGAATGAGAAGGGGGAAAGGAAATATTCCTTGTGTGTAGCCACATACTAGAGATCTAGATCATGATGTTACCTAGTCTTTTCGTGACTACTGCTCTGAATATAGCCTCTATGTCAGAGTCGCTGTAAGTCTTTACTTCAAATTTGTATTTGTTTCTAGTGGTGCACACAGTCTGTCTGAAGATTGCTATAGCGGTAATTTTGTTGTCATCGTCTAACTTATTTTTGGATTTCTTTATGAAGTTTAGGGTAATTGCTTTGTTTAAAGCGACAGTGTCGGAGGTTTCTAAAATTGTTTCTAATGTTTGTCTAGTTTTCAGTAGAGTTGTGCATTCTAAGTAGATGTGTTGTTCAGTTTCTTGTATATGTTGTTTACATATTTGGCATGTTGTTTTAATGTTTTTCTAGTTTTAAGTAGAGTTGTGCATTCTAAGTAAATGTGTTGTTCAGTTTCTTGTATATGTTGCTTACATACTTGGCATGTTGTGTTAATGTTTTTCTAGTTTTTAGTAGAGTTATGCATTCTAAGTAGATGTGTTGTTCAGTTTCTTGTATATGTTGTTTACACATTTAGCATGTTATTTTGATGTTTGTGTTTGCTTTGGTATTTCTGGAGATGGGTGTAGTGTTGTAGATGAGCCTGTATCCTATTTCTTTTTCTTTCTGTGTGTTGTTTTTATTGTGTAGGTTTCTGAATGTGTCGCTAATGTCTACTGTGTTGAGATCTCTAGCCAATTTGATTCTATTTTGTAGTGGTTGTAGTTGTCGCTTGACTAGCGTGTCATAAATTTTCTTGGTATTCTCCCCTATTGTTTTTGTTTGTCTTGAATATTTTTAGAGTCTCCATATAAAAGCTGCCTATGTCTACTCCCCATAGGGTGGTGTCTTTGTTATTTGTCTTTAGAATCATGTTTCACCTGTGCCCTGTGTAATACAGCGCTAGAGGGTGATAATTCGGTTCCAATCTGATCCTGTCTAGGTGTTTAAGTCGAAAAGCGCTAATCTTTGTGTTGATGTCGTGCAAACCAATTCCACCGTTTGATTTATTTTGTATTAGTGTTTGGTGATTATTGTTTCTGATTGTACCTTTGAAGATAACATCCCTAATGTTTTTGTTTGTTTCCTTGATGAAGGTGTTGGGTATGGTGCTGTTTGTAGCGCTATAGATTATTTTAGGAATGACGTATCTGTTGACTAGGGCTGCCCTAGAGAATATTGTAGTGTTACAACTTCTGTACTTGGTTAGGGTGTGATTGATTTTGTCCGTCAGATTTGTCCATGTGGCTTTGTTTTCTGTCGTCGGGCTGTCTGTATATGTTATGCCGTATAGTTTAAGTTTGTCTGCCACTAATTTAGGCATGTTGTAGTTGTTTTTCCTCGCCCACCTGCCCACTCCCATTATTTTTTATTTTTGTGTGTTAATTTTGCTGCCACTAGCCCTGCCAAAATCTATAAAGGTATCTATAACTGTTTTGATTTCTTTTTCTGTTTGTATGAGAAAGTTCATGTCATCTGCGTAAGCTAGGTGTTGAATTTGGTAATTGCAGACCTTTAATCCTGCTGACCTGCCTGATAGGGGTTCTGTCATAGGATATAAGGGATTGGGGGCAATGGGCAACCCTGTCTATCAGATTTGTTTATTATTATAGGGTCGCTGAGTGTGTTGTTTATCATGAGGTGACTGTGCGCGTTTTTGTAGTGTTGTTATCCATTTTTTGAGGTGGGGACCTAAGTTGTATGCATCTACAGTTTTCGATATCCAACTATGGTCGACCCGGTCGAAAGCTTTTTGCTGGTCTATACTTAGAATGGCTAATTGGGTGTTTTTATGTGTGCTGTAGTGTATAATGTCTCTCATTAGATGTGTGTGATTTTGTATGTTCCTACCAGGGGTGCTGTATTGTTGGTCAGTTTGAATGATTTTGTCGATGTGAGGTTCTATTTTCTTGACTAGAGTTTATGTCAGTATCTTGTAATCGCGTCATGTTTCAGGATAGGGGTTGTGTAGGCTCTGTTAAAATCAGTCGCGCAGTGCTCCTGTCGTGTATGTCTTTGTAAGTTGCCTGGAAGTAAGTCATTTTTGAAGGCCTTATAAAATTTATTAGTTTGTAAAATTAAAATTAGTAAAATTCAAAAGTATGGATAAGGAAATAAAACATTGCTGCCGTTTACACTATTTAAGGAGCGTTGCATAGAGAATTTTCTTTGTATTAATAATAAAACTGGTTGATGTAAGTGACTATTAATTATTTGATTAATAACTAAGAATTACTAGCAAATGTAATTAACATTTTATTATTAATCACCAAAGATTTTATATATTTTTTTGGAATTTAGTTTTTTATAATTTATACTAATGTTTATTTACTTGTTTTTGCTTGATAATATATTATTATTTTTTCCATTTCTTGTTATCGTTTAATTTTATAATTATCCCCCCTTCAAAACAACTCAATGTTTGTTCTTTCCCCTAACAAAAAAGTTCCACGCGCGAGATATTTTGACTCAACAAAAGACGCGGGCAAACCGCTGTGAACTGTGTTACACCTTGGTGCACTCTCGTAACCTCAATAATCTGGTTGGTGTGAGTGTGTGATGGAATCTAGTAAGGGGGAGTTAGATGTTGGTGCGATTTTGGTAGAGACTATTTTTGTATCGTGTTTAAATTACTTTAGTGTCTTGGTAATTGCTGCTGACGTTTCCTCGCCAGTGACTGTTCCTTTGTTGAGACAAGCTGGTGGTTGGATGTTTCTGTTGCAGCTTGTTGGTAAGTTTGCTGTATTTTCAGTTATTGGCAGGTTAGGTAACACTGATTTGTCCAGTGTTGTGTGAATGCGCATGTTTGGCATGCTTGTTTTCTTCTTGGGATGGCTATGAGAATGTTAATGGATTTATTTTTGTAGTTGAACTTTAAGGATGGTTGCCGGGTTATCTGTGAAGATGGTAAAGCTTCGATTGTTGGTGTGTGGAATTTTGACTGATGGTATTTGGCATGTTTTTTTCCATACTATTTAGTCTTAGATAAAGAAATAAATAAAGCAACGTTATACAATTTACGCAATCCGTCACATTGTCACATGATCTGGATGTCGATTAAACCACACCCAAAAGGACAACTCCACCCACCCCCACTAATCCAAACACCCCCACTCAACTTACACACAGTAAACCCAATCACACGTAGATTTATTTATACACACACACACACACTCAAATCATTTCCTTTTCCCACACTACAACATCACATAATCATTTCTACACATTAAATTCTCCCACACTAAATTCTCCCACACTAAATTCTCCCACACTAAATTCCCCCACAATAAATTCACACAAACTAAGTTATCCCGAAATAAATTGTCCCACACTAAATTCCCATACACCAAATTCCCACACACTAATTTCTCCCACACTATATTTTCCCACACTCTAATATCTCACACTAACTTCTCTTACACTAAATTCTCCCACACTAAAGTCTCCCACACTAAATTCTCCCACACTAAATTCTCTCACACTAAATTTTCGCACTCTGAATTCTCTCACACTAAATTCTCCCACACTAAATTCTCGCTCACTAAATTATCCCACACTAAACTCCCCCACACTAAAGTTTCCCGCACTAAATTCTCACACACTAAATTCTCTCACACTAAATTCTCGCACTCTGAATTCTCTCACACTAAATTCTCCCACACTAAATTCTTTCATACTAAATTCTCGCTCACTAAATTATCCCACACTAAATTCTCCCTCACTAAAGTCTCCCACACTAAATTCTCTCACACTAAATTTTCCCACACTTAAATCTCTCACACTAAATTCTCCCACACTAACTTCTTTTACATTAAATTCTCTCACACTAAATTCTCTCACACTAAATTCTCCCACACTAAATTCTGCCTCACTAAATTCTCCTACACTAAATTCTTTCACAATAAATTCTCCCACACTAAATTCTCTCACACTAAATTCTCCCACACTAAATTCTGCCTCACTAAATTCTCCCACACTAAATTCTTTCACAATAAATTCTCCCACACTAAATTCTCACACACTAAATTCTCCCACACTTAAATCTCCCAAATCTAAACTCGTTATAAAAATAGTCTCCACCAAAATCACCCGAACATTCAGATCCCCCTTACTAGATTCCATCACACACTCCCCCCTCTCCTCGCCTCACCCCCAACATGGAATAAAAAAAATCACACAGAAGATTTGTGTTAGTCCCGAGAGTGCACCAAGGTGTAAAATAATTCACAGCGGTTTGCTCTCGTCTTTTGTTTCTGTCAAAATATCTCGAGCTTATAACTTTTTGTCAGGGGAAAAAACAAAGAATAACTTTTTTAAGGGAGGTAATTATAGAATTAAGCGATAAACAACAAGTAAACAAACGTTCGTATTAATTATAGAAATTTCAATTTAAAAAAAAAATTGTAAAACTTCTAATGATTAATCACAAAATGTTAATGACAACTCCTAGTAATTGTTAGTTGTTATCCCAATAATTCGTATTCACTAGTACCAACCAGCTGTTATATTTATACGAAGAAGATTAATTTAATAATGTTACCACAAAATCTGAATCTCGTGTTGTTACATCTGCCTGTTTACTGCGTGTTTAAGGAAGTCTCACATAAGTCACTCACTATGCTAGTCGCCGGTAGAAGACAAGCGTGCCACATCTGCTCCTTCTCCCCTCACTGGACGAATCGCTGCCAAGAAGCAAACCTCTCAACAACACAGGATACAGGACCACCCACACCGCAGCAACCGAGGGACCAACAACCAAGTTCAATGACGATTATAACAGAGCCACCAGGGTGATCATTTACACCGCAGCAACCAACGGAATCAGCAAAGACGACGAACCAACAAGCAACTCCAATTACGACTGCAGCGAAGCCACCATCAAGGGAATCAACAACATTTTAAGACACTGCAACAAGAAGCTCAAACTCAGATACAGAAGCGAACACCACCTCATCAATAAACAGCAAAAATGAGTACAGCCCTACAGAACAAGGAAAAATAACCAAAGAACAAAAACACGCAGTAATTTTTTTTTTTTTTTTTTTTTTTTTATTTTTTTTTTTTTTGCCGTCTGGCGTTTAATAGATTTCCTCACTTGCTGTCTTCCTGCGCGAACAGGGAGGCAGCAAGAGTAGGTTGCATGATTATATACATACATGAAATATCTATATATATAATTCTCTTCTTCGAGCCGTTAGAAAACAAGCTGCAAACGCTCTCCCTACCTCCCCACCCCTACATGGTTTTAGTGAGCTGTGTTCACTCTAAATGTTTACAAGCAGAGTCAACGACAACGATTTTAAACGTAGGGGGGGGGGGGGAGGAGGGGGGGGGGGGGGGAAGGGGGGGGGGGGAGGAGGGGGGGGAGGGAAGGAAGGGGGGGGGTTATGGTCCTTAACGAGCTACTTATAGTGTTTTAAAGAAATATTTTCAGTGTCAGCGTTGGTACTGTCGAATTCACAAATTATGAATTATTGAAAATTAGAAACAACTAAATAGCGGCGTATGTTATGCCGCGGGCCGGCTCGTTATACATATTTAGACAATTTTAATCCTTGCTTGTCGTATTTCCATATTTTCCTGTTTCCTTGATTCACTTGTTTCCACTTCCGGTTTCTTGGTTTCTTTTAAAATAACATAAAGTACATGACAACATGATCGCTTCTCTGTTTTTGGCCGTGCTTCTTGTGATTAATACAGTCTTGGTTGGGTAGTGGTAGATTCTTAGTTGGTAGTTGTAGTTTGAGAATGTCAATGGGAGATATTCTGTTGTTGAAAGGGCGAGCTTGTGTCTTGTCGTTTATGGTAGAGTTGATCGAATGGTGTAGAACTTGGAAAAGGTTGACGAGATGTTTTGAGTATTTGATCGTTGAGGGATGACGAGATGACTTGGTACTGGATGTCGTTAATGGAGAGGAGCTTGAAGTGGGCGAGATGACGTAGAGGAATGATTAGTTTTCGTGGTATTGCTGAGTCGAGGATTTGAGCTTGGTCTAGTAGTTGAAGTGGGTAGAGTGAAGGTGTTGACGATTGTTTATTTGGGGTGAGTTGATTTGGTATTGGAGAGATGGTTAGTTCGTTTGCTGGTATTTGACGGACCCTCCCACCTAAGACGTCTCCTAGGTGGGTGTCGCCAAATTAGTGGCAAAGTTGTTAGTAGTGATGTGTTTGCGTGGTTGATAGGTTGATTGGCTGGCGATCGTGACGGACCTTCCACCTAAGATTTCTCCTAGGTGGGTGTCGTCAGAGTGGTAGTGAGTTTGTTGGGAGCGAGGTAGTTGTCTTTGACGTAGTAGATGAGTTCGATTTGCTGGCGATTGTGACAGACCTCCCACCTAAGATTTCTCCTAGATGGGTGTCGTCAGTCTGAAAATTAGCCGCTCGTATATTGAAGCCACCCAATACAAGTACTGGGTGACTCATCTCGAGGGCATGTGCGCTTCGAGGGATGTGTGGGAGCAACCCCACAGCGGTCGTTGGCGAGATTTGCGTGAGTTAGAGTAGTAGATTGACCGCCTCTCGGCCCCGGCAGCCAGCCCTAAAAAGGGCTGACCAACCAAATGGCTAAGAACCATGTAGATCCATAACAGATACTACACTTTGATCTTAGCCAAAAGGCCGAGAAACTGTGATCATTTGTAAATTTAAAAAATTCCATTAGATAAGTAATTTATTTTTTAAGTTATTTATAATTTTATTGTTTCACGAAAACCCGTGTTTTCTATATATGAATATAAATACATTATAAAAATATTTTCTATACAGTTAACTAATAATAATTCCGTAATGTAAATATGATTTTAGTTATATATTTGTTATTATATTTTATCCTTTAGGTGAGTTTTTTTTCAAGGAAATATACTCCACATTAAACGACAAAGTCATTGGAGCAATCAAGCTGGTTATCTCCCTTACCATTCTCTGCCTGTGTCTGGTCGCCATTGTCAAACTGCTGCACTCCCTTCTCCAAGGCCCCATCGCTCTCATCATCAAAAAAATCATCAACGCGGACTTTCCCGGACCGCTGGGCTACCTCACCGGATACCTCGCCATCATCATCGGCGCCGGGTTGACCATCATCGTCCAGAGCTCTTCCATCTTCACCTCCACCCTCACCCCGCTCGTCGGCATCGGGGTCATTGAACTCGTCCGGATGTACCCTTTGACCCTGGGGTCAAACATCGGCACCACGACCACGGCGATTCTCTCAGCCTTAGCCAACACGGACGGCCTCAGAAACGCGTTACAAGCAGCCTTCTGCCACCTCTTCTTCAACATCACCGGCATCCTCCTGTTCTACCCCATGCCCTACCTCCGCTTCCCCATCCCGCTTGCCAAATTTCTAGGCAACTGCACGGCCGAGTACCGCTGGTTTCCCATCGTCTACATCCTCCTCATGTTCTTCCTCTTCCCCGCCCTAGTCTTCGCTCTCTCCATCCCGGGCTGGTACGTCCTCCTCGGCGTCCTCGGGCCCGTCTGCCTTCTCTTCATCATCATCGGCGTCATCAAATGCCTGCAGGCTAAACGTCCCCAGAGCCTGCCCAAAAAGCTCCAAGACTGGATGTTCCTACCCCAGCCGCTACGGTCTTTAGAACCCTATGATCGCGCCATGCAGAAAGTCTTCTTCTGCAAGCGGTTCCAGACAGACTCTACCGAGAAGACAGACACGGGTGCCACGTCAGACAGACAACATAACGGAGAGTCCAGCACGCGACTTTAGTATGACCACGTGACATCGTTTACAAAGATCGACTATTGAAAACCTATTTTATGCTATAATGTTATTTATATTTGTAACTTTGTATATGATTAGATAAATTACATTCGTTTTAGTTCAATATGTATATATAGCATGTATAAAGCTTACTGAAATTTTTATGTCATATATTATTTAAAAGATTTTATCTCGTAATTTTCAAAAAAATATATAAAATACGTTTTTAGGAATGTTGAGCTCTGTGATCCTGTCATACGAGTTTTGTAAAATATGCATTTTTAATAACACGAAAAAGTTGATTTAATTTTGATATTGCTATCATAGTGTTGTCATTTAAAACTTCTAAAATAACTTTACTGGTCCAAACTTGAGGCAGTTGGTACGATAACTGCACGTCGTACTAGGTATTTGATCACTGCCTTTGTATCACTTTGTATTGAGTTGTCTTTTGACATGTTCGTGATTTCAATGAGCGTCGATGTTACGTTCATAGTGGCCAACTTAACCCACCTAGGCCACTTTTATGGAAAAACAAACGTTGGGCTACTTTTATGGAAATGCAAACATTGTGCCACTTTTACGGAAAGGCAAACCTGGGCCACTTTTATGGAAAGGCCACTTTTATATATCCCATATAGAACACTTCAAGCTTGACGCTCGTTGACATAAAATGTTCGAACAGATCTAGGAATAGAAAAAAAAAACAACTTTCGATTAAGTAAGATGCCAATTAGTGGCCCCCCCCCACCCCCCCCCACCCCCCCCCCCACCGAATATTTTTGACGGCGTGGTCGGACTGTAGAGCACACAACTGCTAACACCTCTGATGGGTCCATGACTCAACTTACGTAAATAAAGGAGGCAGGATATACTAATGAACACACAGAGGTCACAGAATCAGGTGAACTTTACTTCATCTACCTCATTGACCGCCTTGTTTTATAGAGTAACTACTTTTATTTTATCATTTAAAAAGTGCGAAGCGCTAGACTGTTAGTGTTTCTTCCAGACTAGGGTGAAAACTAAGCATAGTCAATGTACACGGACCACATAGACCCAAAAAACAGTAAATTTTATGAAAACCTGGAACAATTACTAACTAACAAATACAACCAATATGACATTATTTTGTCGGTGACTTCAATTTCGTGGAAGACAGTTTAAACATTGTCGGGCCAAAATAAATTATTCGAAACCGCTTAACCGCAGACACACCACACGCCGATTCAATCAACAACATTAAAACATATTTCAATTTAGTTGACACATACAGAGCGCAATATCCACTCACCTTACAAACCACCCACGGAAATAACACATCTGGAAATAGATTCCGTCTAGACAGAATTTACGCCCCAGTGAACATGAAAATCAACAAAGTAGAACACCTATTCTCCAAGGTCCTATCGCTCTCATTCACTATTAATAGACGAGCGCTACACAAAAGCATAAAAGACATAATACAATTTTACAGACAGTCATCACCAAAATGTAACAAAATTCAACATTGGGACGATTTTAAATACGACATTAAGCGGATATCAGTTAAATATGCGTGTATCATTAATAGCATTAGGGCCCACATAGAATCTAAACTAGAAAAAAAAAAAACAACTAAGCATGCTTAAGGGAAAAAAACAATAACAAAGAACAAATAGACTCAATAGAAACGGAACTTTCGAAAATACAAGAAAATAAATATAGAGGGACACAAATCAGAAGCAAAATAGAGCAGATAGGCTCGGAAAACCAAACACACCACACTCTCATACTAGAACAAAGCATACAAAGATCAAAACAAATCAAACAAATAATGGACGAAAACAACCTAGAAACGACTGACCCAAGAACGATTTTAAAATCGACCCGCGCTTTTTATTTAACTTATCTTCATAATCATTTCCCCTTTGTGCCCAATATACAAATGGCAGATAAAGTAAAGATCGTGTTTCAATCACCTCGACATACAGGGAGATAATGTGGTCAGTACTAAGCCTACCCGCCTAAGTTACCTAATGTGCGCCAGGTACCCATCACAGCTGGGTGAACTCGCGGAGCCCAACAGAACTGACCCCGGAACTCGAGATATTCGGACTAGCAGTAGAAAGCTTTGTGTTTAGTATTATAGCTTAAAAAGAGTACTGTTACTTTTGTAATTTAGCGCTTGTGAAAGCTCGTTAATATATAGGGTATTAGACATTTTTTCTCTACTATTTAGCCTTAGATAAAAAAATAAATAAAGCACCGTTATACAAATGATGCAATCCGTCACATTGTCATATAATTCGGATGTCAATTAAACCACACCCAGAAGGACAACTCCCCCATCTCCACTAATCCAAACACCCCCACTCAACTTATTCACAGTAACCCAAATCACACGTAGATTTATTTATATATACACACACACTCAAATAATTTCCATTGTCTACACTACAACACAATATACTCATTTTTCCCACACCTAATTCTCCCACACAAAATTGTCCCGCACTAAATTCTCCCACTCTAAACTTCCCCACAAAAAAAAAAATAAATACACTAAATTCTCCCACAATAAATTCTCCCACACTAAATTCTCCCACACTAAATTCTCCCACACTTAATTTACCCACGCTAAATACCCACACACTAAATTCTCGCTAAACTCGATACAAAAATAGTCTATACCAAAATCACCCAAACATTCAATTCCCCCTCACTAGATTCCATCACACACTCCCCCCCCCACCCCACATGGAACTAAACATTGACACAGAATATTAGTGTTAGTCCCGAGAGTGCACCATGGTGTAACACAGTTCACAGCGGTTTGATCTCGTCCTATGTTTGAGTCAAAATATCTCGCGCGTGGAACTTTTTTTGTTAAGGGAGAAAACAAATATTGAGTTTTTATCAAGGGAGGTAATCATAAAATTAAATGATAAAAAGAAATGTAAAAAAAAAATAATATATTTTTTAGCAAAAACAAGTGAACAAGCATTAGTATAAATTATAGAAAATTAAAATACAAAAAAGATATTTAAAATTTTTTGGTAATTATTATAAAAAAAAAAAAATTATAAATCCTAGTAATTTTTAGTTGTTAATCGAATAATTTGAAGTTACTTATATCAACAAACATTAATATTAATTCCGAGAAAACTCTTCAACTATTATTTTGAGATAATTGTACTTTTTTAGTTATTTTCATTTACCTGATGTAGCTTCTCTATCTTTTGGTTAAGATCAAAGTGTTTCTTTTCACAACGCGTAAATCTTTCGCCTTTGACTGAATGTGACCTAGTTGAGCACAAACTAAATGCACCGAGTCCTCATCTCCATGCACTAGAAATGGACTATGCAACTATCACGAAAGTCAACAATGGGGTTGCGCCCATTTTTGTTCCCTCTAGGTCGAGAGATCCGGAGAGGAGCCACCCGGACTACGGTTCGGGTGGCTTAATGAAAACTTGGGCCCAAACTCTTTCAGTTTCAGATATCAAGACAACAATCACAATAGACCAGTCTGATGAAATAGCTCCTGAGCTCTTCGACTCGCCTACAGTAATTCAAGTCACCATCAAATCAAGCAACCACCAGAACATCCCTGGTCACCTCTTGCGCAAGATCATTAGCCCACACCAGATCCTGCTGCTCAACTATGGACGAGGGGATACCTGGTACTTCTCGTCCAACGAGTTTGATGCAGCGGATCTGGACGGCACCACCAAAACACACGGCCCATACACTTTGAAATTCGACAGATACCACAAGGACAAAATCATCGGAACCCTTAGATGGGTCCCGCCCGCCCTGAGCAACGAAACACTGATTAAGGCACTGCAAACAGTCAGCAAATCTACACCTACAATAACCACAATCCCGCACACAAACAATCGCAGATTCACCATCCAGAACGACAATCCACAACACATCCCACACTATATCCAAATTACATACAAAGACACAATATAGAGGAACAAAAACCAGAATCAAAATAGAGCAGATTGGCTCGGAAAACCAAACACACCACACTCTCATACTGCAACAAAGCATACAAAGATCAAAACAAATCAAACAAATAATGGACGAAAACAACCAAGAAACGACTGACCCAAGAACGATTTTAAAATCGACCCGCGCTTTTTATTTAACTTATCTTCATAATCGATTCCCTTTCGTGCCCAATACACAAAAGGCAGATAAATTAAAAAATCGTGTTTCAATCACCTCGACATACAGGGAGATAATGTGGTCAGTACTAAGCCTATCCGCCTTAGTTATCTAAGGTGCGTAAGGTACCCATCAGAGCTGGGTGAACTCACGGAGCCCAACAGAACTGAGCCCGGATCCGAACTTGAGACATTCGGACTAGCAGTACAACGCTTTGTTTTTAGTATTATAGCTTTAAAAGTGTACACTCACTTTTGCAATTTAGCGCCTGTGAAAGCTCGTTAATATATAGGTTATAAGACATGTTTTTTTTCCTACTATTTAGTCTTAGATGAAGAAATAAATGAAGCAACGTTATACAAATGACGCAATCCGTCACATTGTCACATGATCCGGAGGTCGATTAATCCTCACCCAGAAGGACAAACCCCCACCCCCACTAATCTAAACACCCCCCACTCAACTTACCCACAGTAAACCCCATCACACCCACCGTAGATTTATTTATATACACACAAACACTCAAATAATTTCCTTTACCTACACTACAACACCACATAATCATTTCTCTCTCACTTAATTCTTCCACACTAAATTCTCCCACACTAAATTCTCCAACACTAAATTCTCCATCACTAAACTCTCCCACCCTAAAAATCTCGAAGTGTCTACCCGGAATAAGATTTTTCGGCAAAAGATAGTTCTGCGCATGCGCAGTGACCTATGGCTAGGGTTAGGGCTAGAATGAGGGTTAGGGGTAGGATTAGGGATAGGGTTAGGGATAGGATTAGGGATAGGTTTAGGGCTAGGGTTAGGGATAGGGATAGGATTAGGGATAGGGTTAGGGA